TGGGCCTCAGTGTCCACCAGGGGAGCAGACGTAAACCACAGCACAGCATCATCTCTCCGGGATTGGGGGTCTATGCTGGGGCTAGGCAGGCACAGGGGCGAGGAACTAGTAGGGAGAAGGCAGGGAGGGCTTCGTGGAGGGGCAATTCCGAGATAGGCATCCAAGGATAACCAGGGGTATTCCAGTGGGTTAAGAAGAGGAAAAACCGGGGGATATGACAGTTTGGGCTTCTCCTCTGGTCACTCACTGGCAGGCTCCCGGAGGGCAAGGCCCAAGAGCCCAGAGGTGTGGAGGAGCAGGCAGCTCCCCCTGCACCCACCCAAACCCTACTTGTCCTGCCAAAGCCAGTGTCCAACTCTGTCCCCCAGCAGCCCTTCCTGATTGCCCAGCCCGCAGGGGCCTCTCACGTCGTTGTGGTCCATGGTCCATGTGACCTTGCTGGTGGTGCTGTCTCCAGCGTTCCCTGCACCCAGCCAGGCCTGACCCCAGTGCACACAGGGGACTGGCGATGTGGAGGCTGCTCTCCTTCCCCAGCCCTGTACCCTGGGGTCACAGTGCCCCCAGGTTAGTCCTCACCCTGCCTCTCCTGGGGGAGCTCACACAGAAGGGGGCCCAAGCAAGAAGGCCCAGCAAGATGGGGTGTGGGCCCGGGACAGCAGGTGCAGGCACAGGCAGTGTGGCCAGGAGGTGGCACGGGTCCTGCAGGATGGAGCAAGCCAGGGCTCCAAATTAGCACAACCGGTCCAGACCTCTCCCTGAACTCTAGGCCTCCCACCCCACCACCAGGCCACATCCCCAGGGTGGGGGGTCAAACTGTCCCTGCCTCTGGCCCGCCACCTCCTGCTGCACCTGCAGCCTTTCCCACTCCAGCACAGCACCCTGTCTCCTGAGCCTCCCCTCACTAGCCTGCACCCTGCCCCCGCAAGGCCTCTCAGCTGCACCTTCAGCACCGCCTCGCCTCAGCCCGCCCCTCCCCCGCCACCTCCCTGTCTGAGCCCGTGATCTGCTCCTGGACCACTGTGGTGGCCCCTGCTGTCCTTGGCCCCTGCACACAGTAGCCAGTAGTGCCATCACAACCCCAGTGAGAGCACACCCCTGCCGGCCCCCACCAGCCACGTCACCTCACTGACCTCCCTGGCACCTGGACAAGCAGGTGGCTTCCTCTTCCAAGCCCTGTCCTGGCCTTTTCCTGGCATGCTCCCCTGCTCTCCCCTCCCTGACCTCGTCAGGGCCCTGTGACATGCCTGCCCTGGATACCCTACAGCACACACTACCCTACGGCACACACACCACCCTGGCTGATGGTCAGCATGCTGGGCACCGACCCTGTCAGACCCCTGCTTGTTGGGTGAGCAGCACTGGCATCACCAGTGCTGGGGACGTTGGGTGGGCCCTGGGGCCCAGCAGGCCCTGCAGCCGTGAGTGCAATGTCATGTCCCTCTGGGCTGGGGCGTTTAACTGCCAATACAGGGCCCTCCCCCCACCATGTGGCCCTGTCGGCCTGGGTCCCTGAGCAAGGGCAGACTGGAGCAGGACCCAGTCAGCCCACCATGGACACTGCAAGAGTGAAAACTACACCATGTGGTCACAGGCCACGACACTGGGAGTTGTTTTGTCGACAAAAGGACATTTGTCTACCGAATAACCTGAACTCCCCTAGCTGATCGCTCCTGTTGCGTTCTTGTCCTCTTCTGCCTTTACTTTCTCTGTTGAGCACCTAGCGCCTGTGACGCTGCACCTATTTCCCTCATCGGCCGGCCGTGCTCTCTGCGCCTGTGTGAGCGCTGCGAGAACGCGGCGGTGGCGCGTCGGGTTCCGCCGACTCGGCCCTCCACCGGGATGCCGACAGTGGCGCTGGGTGGGCGGCGGCGGAGGGGCAGGCGAGGCCCGCGTCTCCCGCCGGGTCCTCTTCCAGACCCGTCAGCACAGGGCCTGGCCAACGAGTCTGGGCCGCGGCTGCAGCAGCTGCCCCGCGTCTAAACAGACAGCCGGGAGGGGCAGGAGGCCCGGCGCGCGGGGAAGCCCAGACCGGCTCCCGGCCTCCTCCCGCAGTGCCCGCAGGAGCCCGCACTCCGGAAGCCCGCGCGGGGCTCGGCTCTCGGGGACGCGCGCTCGCCCACACGCCGCCCGCGCGCCGCCGCCTCGCAGCAAACAGGTGGCTCTGCGCACCTCACGTCCGGGAGAGGACCCAGGGCCGGTGGCCCCTCCGAGGCCTGGAAGCCCTCCCTCCCGCCGCGGGTGCCGCTCTGCCTCGGCGGCCCCGGGACAGCAGGCCGCGCCGGGAGGGCACGGCCACCTGGCAGAGGGTGGCCCAGTGGGGACGCGCAGAGTCGCGGTGGTTCCCCAGGACCGGCTGCCTCCCAGGCCGGGTCCGAGACGTTCCGGACCGTCGTACCCTTCCCGAGCCGCGCCGGCCGCGCGGCGGAGCCAGCGCCCCGCGCTCCCACCGCAGCCGAGGCGCTACGCTGCGAGCGCGCCCGCGCCGCCTCCCGCACCTGCCCCGCGCCGCAGCCCTACCTGGGGCTCCAGGAACATCCTTGCTGCCTGCTCCCCGCGCCGCTCCTCCGCCGGCGCCCGCCGCCCGCGGACGCCCCCCACCCGCAGCCTCCAGCCCGCAGCCGCAGCCGCTCTGCCGGGGCGGGACCCGGACGCCGAGCGAGGGGCGGCAGGGGCGGGCCAAGAGCGGGGCAGGCCAGGGGCTGGAGGTGGGGCGCGGCGGGGCGGGGCCGGGGACCCGCCGGAGAGCCGCGTCGGGGTCGGCGGGGACTGCAGGAGGCTGGGGGTGGGGCGCGGCGAGGGGCGCCGCGTGAGCCCAGGGCGCGCGCCTGGCACCGGGTTTGCGAGCACCGCAGGTGCAGAGGCGTGGGACGGCCCGCCGCGGTGTCGGTGGCAGGGCGCGGGGCCGGCGAGGGGCACCTTGCGCGTGGTGGCTCAGCGCAGGATGGTGGCGGTCGTTTGGTGAGGTCCTGCTGACGGAGGGCCCTTGCACCCCCACCTCCTCCCCGGCGCTTGTCCTGCCCCGCCCCAGCCTCACCTCATCGTAGATACCGGCCGCAGAGCTGCAGCAGGTGCTCGGCCCGCGTCTGGCTTGAATGCCTCCCCTGACGGGGCACTCACTCCACGCGGCTCTGGCCTCGGGCGCCTCAAGGAACTGTCTGTCCCTCCATCTCCTTGGAGCACGGGGAACACAGCAGCTGCTTTTGCGGGAGCGCTAATCCAAGACGCGGCGAGGGGCGGGCGGACACGCGGCGCAGCGCGGCTCATCCCGCCCCGCGAACCCCAGGGCCCAGGAGGAATCCTGTCAGGTGACTGGGCCTCCGCCGCGTTCCTGCAGCGCCCCACCCCGCCGGCTGTGAGACCGGATGGAGACGAGGGACTGCGCCGAGGAGCGCCCTCTGGGGCGTCGGAACGAGTCGCGAGCCCGGCGGCTCTGGGTGAGCCGCGCTGCTGCCTGGGGACGCCAGGGAGGGGCTGCCTCCGCTTGCACCGCACAGGGAGGAGCGGGGCTGCCCGCAGCGCTCCGACAACCCCAGAGAGTTCACAGGCATACCACTGGGCCTGGGTGGACGGCGATGACCCTGACCGTGTCCTGCTGGCCCAGGAGGCCCATCCCCCACCCCAGTGCGGCCCAGTAGCCTGTGAGAGGCCACCTCTCCTCCCACCTACCTCGCGCCAGCGCCAGCGGCAGGGCTGGCTGCCAGGCTGTCCTGATGGACAGTTATTTCTGTCTTGAGGAATCCGGGCCTGTGCTGGATCCATTTTCTGGCCTCCCCCAGGAGGGTGCAGGAGCTGGAGGCACCCTTCTGCAGCTCCCCAGCCCCTACATCTCTGCCAGTTAGTGCTGGCCCTGGACTGGGGCACTTCAGTGAGCCTGCACTATTAATCACTGCGTGGTACAGCTCCTGTGGGCGGGCAGTGGGGGACACCAGGCAACCAGGCGGGAATGGTGCATCAGCCCCCAGCATCACACTGTCCCCCTTCTGTTTCTGTGTCCCATTTTAGGCCAGCTGGAGGATGCAGAGCTCACAGTGGCCTCGTGGGTGACTGGTGGCATCAGAACAGTCTGGGCCGGTGGGTTCTGGGCCTGCATGGGCTTCACATCCCTTCAGACCCCTCCTCTCCACAGCACCAAGAGGGTTGAGGCTTGGGGTTGTGCCCCTGGGTAAGCCTGCCGGCAACTGCCCCCCAGCACTTTCCTCAGCCCTGACCTGTGGCCCTGCGGGACACCTGGTGCTGAGGTGGCCCTAGTTTTGCCTCGGGAAGTCCGTGTGGACAGTTGGCCCTGCTGCCACCTGCCTTCACAGCGAGCCTCCCCTTCTGCCTCCCTGGGCATGGCAGTCTAGAGGAGGTGGCTGACACGAACACCCCACACCTTGTTCCTATATGGTCACTGGGTCACTTGCCTCTGTGCTCAGCCACAGATTACACCCGAATCACCGAGGACCTGGAGAATGCAGGCCTCCCCAGGAGAAGGAGGGCCTCCACCCTGCTGTCTCCTTTGTTCACAGGTGAGGCCACAGCATTCATGTGTGTTCCTGATTCACGTCCTTCCCAGCCCCCAAGGACAGAGGCAGGCTCCTGTGCCAAGGGCTGACCCCAGCCAGGGTTCCTTCTGCTTAAAGCTGTGGGTGGGGCTGTCCTGCAGGGAGGACTTCTGGAGATCAACCCAGGATCCCACTGACCCTTTATTTATTTATTTATTTTTGAGACACAGTTTTGCTTTGTTGCCCAGGCTAGAGTGAGTGCCGTGGCATCAGCCTAGCTCACAGCAACCTCAAACTCCTGGGCTCAAGTGATCCTCCTGCCTCAGCCTCCCGAGTAGCTGGGACTACAGGCATGAGCCACCATGCCTGGCTAATTTTTTCTATATATATTAGTTGCCCAATTAATTTCTTTCTTTTTATAGTAGAGACCGGGTCTCACTCTTGCTCAGGCTGGTTTCGAACTCCTGACCTTGAGCAATCTGCCTGCCTCGGCCTCCCAGAGTGCTAGGATTACAGGCGTGAGCCGCCGCACCCGGCCACCACTGCCCCTCTAGAAAGGGGAGAACAAGCCCGCTGTGGTGTGGCTAGTGGACATCTGCTGGGGGTTCCATAAAGAGAAGACACAAAGGAAGAGATGCCCTGTCCTTCCTCCAGACACCTCCTCTAGGGGCTGGGCACGTGGCCCGGACCAGCACATCCATGACCATGAGAGGGCACTCCAAGGGTGGCAGAGCAGAGCAGGGAAGCCTTGTTCTGGGGTGACAGGGACCAGGACACCCTCACAAGTGCAGACACCTAGGAGCCAACAGGAAGCGGACACAGGAGACTGGACGGCTGCAATGGGCTCCCAATTAGGTCTGCCCTACTGTCTCAGCACGACAGCCAGAGGGTCCTGTCAGAACCTGAGTCAGGCCCCGAGCCTCCTCTACCCAGCACCTCCATGGTTCCTGCCCCATTCCCAAGGAAAGACAGAGTCCAAGCAAATGCCTGTGTGCCCTGGGGACCGTCCCCACCTGGGACCTCAGCGCCCCTGCCCGAACTCCTTTCCCTGCGAGGAATGTGCCCTGCCGAGCACCCAGAGGGCCCCCGAGGTCTCCCCTGCATGTCACCTTGTGGGCCGATACGTACAACATCTCACCCTCCACCCCAACCTCCTCCCCGCCGCGGACTGTGCCCCTCGTGGGGAGTCAGCCCAACAGCCCCGTCCCTCAGCCTGCTCTCAGAGGGCTCGAGCTCCAGGAGGGCAGGGTCCCTGTTTTGTTCACTGCTGCTCCCCAGCGACGGTGGCACGTGCCCATACACGCACTTGGCACCTGTCTGCTGAATGTGTGTGTGCAAACGGAGATTCGGAGATGCGGGTGTGGCTCGAGGTTGTGTCCGCAGCGCGGGGCGGATCTCCAGAACATACCAGAGCCTGTACAAATCACAAAGGCAGCAGACCCATTTTTTTAAAATGGGCAAAAGACTTAGAGACACTTCACCAAAAAAGGATTTCCAAAGGGCAACGAAGATAGGAAACAGTCATCAGGGGAAGGGAAATTAACCTACAATACAGGTGTGTTTCCTGTACACCCAGTGGAACAGCCACAGGGAAAAGGCAGAAATGCCCGGTGCTGCCAGAGCTCTCAGCTGCCGGCAGAGGCAGCGACAGCCGCTGTGGCCACTCAGACAATGCTCCGAGGACAGTGCCCAAGAGAGCTGAGCACACGGAAGCCCAGAATCCCGCCCCAGTGCAGGCCTGGCAGAAATGCCGGCAGACTCGCACCAAAGGGCACACCCACGGGTGTTTGCCGCAGCACCACTCACAGGCCTTCAAACTGCACACAGCCCAGGTGTCCCCAGCAGAGGACTGGATCCTGCTGAGCGGTGACGTGTTCACACAGTGGAACTCGCCACACGGACGAGAATGGACAAAGACAACCACATGCAAGGCAAGTCTCACCACCATCAAGTGGGACAAAGAAACCAGGCACAAAGAACACCCAAGATGGGACCCCGAGCACACCCAGACCCACGGCCCCCAAAGACGCCCGCACTGCTGAAGCCAGGGCAGTGCCGGCCTGGGGGCAGGGTGGACCTGGATGCCAGTCACCCACCTATTCTCCCCACAAGCGTCTCCAAGGGCACACTATGACTTTGCAACCTTTCTGTGTATATGTCACACTTCAAAACAATTTATGCTCAGAAAAAACTGAGAGAGAAACACTAAGAAACGTCTTAGCCAGGGCAGGTAGAAGCCTTGTGGGTCCCCGGCCCTTCCAGGCTCGCTGTGGGCTGCACCTCGGAAGCCGCCCCAGAGGAAGGAGCACTCCAGGGTTTACTGCCCTCCCTGGCGCCTCGGCCACAAAGGCTGTCTCCGCGGAGATGCTGCGCCTCCTTGGAAAGGCACAGCCTGCAAAGTAAGGCCGCGGCGGGCAAGAGGTGTCCGCTGGGCTTGGAGGGCGGAAGGCGGCCTGGGGCAGCGACAGAGCTGGGGAGCAGAGAAGCAGGACCAGAGGCCACAGCGGGCGACCAGAGTCACACTGGTGCTCACAGAGACCCGGGAAGGCTGAGCCCACGGGGGACTTGGGTTCCAGAACAAGGGGTCAGGTGACAGCAGGGCTCTACCCCCCTGCCCTGCTGGTGCCACCTCCTCACTGGGCCGTGCCCTCGGCCAGGGGCCGCAGGTCTGTCCAGGGCACACAGCAGGCCGTCTGGAAAACAGGAAGCGCAGCGAGTCCAGCCTGAGCACGCTCCCGAAACCGGCCGGCCCCTCGCCCTCAGGCCTGGCTCTGCCCGCCGCCCCGCCGCCGTGGGCTGCCGTGCCTGCAGAGCCGCGCACAGAGCCGCGCCTCCCCGGCCTCGCGAGAGCCGGGACGGCCTGGGCACGCTCACGCCCAGGCTCAAGCGCAGCGCAGGCTCCAGGGTGGGGTGTCTGGAGGCCAGCCCTGTGCCCTGGGTGTCTACTGGGGACCCCAAGGTCTGGCGTTTCCCCAACACTGCCCCATTAACACTCCCATTTGGAGAATAATATTCCAAGAAAAGAATCGCTGTGGTTTTAGTACCACCAGAGCAAAAGGTGTAGAAAGCTGAGGGGCAGCTGACCCCGCTGGGGCCCCCGCATCACAGAGGCAGCCACTCTGCCTGAACAAACAATCCAGGGGCGGCCAGTTGCCCGCAGGCCTCCCCCCACAGCCCCACAGGCCCCTACCCTTTGTCCTGAGGAGACAGGGGATTGGGGGCGGCTGTGCCTTCCACCTTGACCGCATGTGAGTAGCAGGTAACTAGCCGTGACGAAGGTGCTGACTGCTCGGGACAGCAGCTACTCCCTGCACCCAAGAGGCCGGGAGCCACGCCTGAGGGGAAGAGACCTCGTGCCCACACATCATCATGGTCCCTGCGGCCACAGCTGTCATCCCCCAGGCCCAGCCCTTCCCGCTGCCTGAGAGCCCAGGGACCTGGCGGGCGGTGGGTCTACAGAGGAACAAGGTGGGTGAAGCAGGGAATGGGGGAGGGTGTCTGCGGCCGCCAGCTCAAGGGAGCCCATGCATGATGGGGTGCCATGTCCCACTCGGAGCCCAGCTTTCTTCGTCTGAGCCAAGCAGCTTGGCAGGGAACAGTCTTTCCCCAAAGGCGTGTGTACCGCAGGCTGGCGAGGTGGCCCTCCCTGCAGGTTGGACACACTGCACTCCCAGTCAGTGCCCAGGGTGTGAAGCTGGGCTCCCAGGGGCCACCTGCTGGGGCCTGGGGGCAGGGGCAGTCAGGACAGGGACCCAGAAGCTGGGCCTGTGGAAGGCATGTGACCTCAGGCTGGGCAGGCTGCTGGCCTTGGGGCACAGCTGAGGCTGCACTGCCCAGGAGGGAGGTTTGTCTGTGGGACAGAGACGACAGGGCTGGGGAGGATGGAGGCAGGAGAGAGGGACCTCCTAGGCTGGCACAGCCTCTCTCTCCACTGTACAGGGAGGGAGACTGAAGTCAGGGCAGTGCTGGCCTGGCACGGGGCACCATGACGACAGGCACTGAGCAGGGTGCGCTGCACAGGAGCTGCAGTCTGGCTTGGCACCAACCCACACAGCAGCACAGTCCAGGCTCAGCCTCTACAAGTCGCACGGACTGGGACCTGCTCAAGGCCCAGCTGGCTCGGGGGCTGGCACTCCTCTGAGGCTGCAGGTCCCCAGGGCTGTGGGAGGGCAGCGCGCCTGAATCTCAAGGGGTGAGCCTTGGGGTCTCCGCAGGGGGCTTCTCAGCATCCTCGGATCTGGCCTTACAGTGCCTTCCTGGGAAGTAGAAACAGCACCCTGGCCCTGAAGGGCATGGCTGGCGAGCGGGGAGCAGGCTGGCTCTGGCCCGCTCGCCCTCAGCCTGGCGCCGTGTGTGGCATGCTCTGGAGAGAGCACTTGGCAGAGCCTTCCTCAAAGGTAAGTGACCACAGAGCTGCCTTCTCCTGAGCGTTCCAGGAGACCCTGCAGTGGCCAGGGGAGGGCCCTAAACGCTCACCCCCTTGCTAGCTGGCCACTCTGGTGCATCCGCTCACCTGCACCTGGTCCGGCTGCGACTCCACAGTCCTGGCCCTGGGAGGCTGCCTCCAGACAAGGCTCTCAAACTGGACCAGATCACCCCAGAACTTGCTGAAAAGTCAATGCAATCCTTCCTGCCCCCATGGATGTGTGGGGACTCATTGCTCAGGGCGGGCAGCAGCGGGCAGAACTCCAGGAGCTTGGGGACACCTCTGCACCAAGCACAGCCAACACAGGTGCACAGGGGACAGTGAAAATGATGTCCAGGTAGAGACGGGCAGGACTCAGGCCATGGCAGGTGGAGCCCCGGAGGAGGCTGCAGCCACCAGGCAGGAGAGGTGAGGGCCAAGGCATGGCCTGGGTGGGAGACTTCCTGGAGATGAAGCAGGTTGTGACCACAGAGACCCCTCCCCCATCACGGGGCGGAGGACTGCTGTTCTAGGAGCACACACTGGGAGAACACTCCTTGACACCTGCTGAGAAAGGGGGCTTGCAAATGCAAACAGGAAAGGCCCATCAGCAGGGAGCAAACTGCTTCACAACAAAGCAGATTGCAATTTAAAGCCTGAGTCATCAATTTTCACCTGTGAAATCTGCAAAAATAATGTTAAAGGTAACACAGAGGGCTAGCTCTGGTGTGGGGCACAGGCCAGGGCCACAGTGGGAGAAGGAGAGGAATGACGGCAGGGAGGTGTCCATAGGCACTCACAGGGGCAAAGCCACTCCTTGAGGCAGGCATCTGCGGGGGCACAGCGCATCAGTGTGCGTGTGTGTGACCTTGTGTGTGCACGCACATGCACGCATGTACATGTATGCATATGCACGTGAACTTTGTGCATATGTGGGGTGCTTGTTTGTGTGAGTGCATCAGGTGTGTGTGTGTGCATGTGCATGTGTGTGTGTCCACCCCTAAAAACAGACAGATACATACACACACGACAAGGTCAAGCAGGGTGCCACCCCCATACCCTCCCCCTCACCTCATGTCTCCTGCCTCTCTTCTCCCCACGGCCTTGTCAAGCGCTGCTCAGGCTTTCTCCAGTGACTGTGAGTGGCTCTATCACAGCACAACACGATGCGTGCTCTTTTTCTAAAACCAGGGCATGAGGTTCCCTGGTCCCATGGAGGCTGCAGCAGGAGGCAGCAGCCCACCAGAGGTTCGGCACTCTCTGGGGTCCCTCACAGGCTCCCAGAGAAGAGAGACTTGCTCCCACCAGCCAGGGTGTAGCCAAGGAAGGGAGGGTAGGTGGGGTGTCGTGGATGAGCAGAGGGCACCTCCGTCCTCCAAGGGGCTGTCTTTCCACTCTGTTGTGAAGAACCCGATGAGTCCCCCACACAGATTCACCCACTCAGAACATGTCCCAGCGTGTGCTCGGCCCCTGCAGACACGTGCTCAGAGGTGCTCCCCCAGCTCCTCCTTACATCTCTCGCTTCTTCCTCCAGCTGGCAGACCAGAAGGCTCCACATGGTGCCAGGCAGGGACAGGCTGGGGAGCTGATGGGCGCAGGCAGTGGGCCCCTAAGCCAGCCTGACACACTCCCTCCTCGGAGACTTATATTACCCACCCTTCAAATTGTCCTTCTCCCTCCCCTCTGCCCCAATGCCTTTCAGACACCACCCTGCCACCTCCTCCAGGAAGTCTTCCTGATTCTTGGAGTGTCCTCAAGGGCCTGCCCCTTGGGCTGCCAGCCCCTCATGCCAGGTACCTCTCACCAACTCTTCCTCCCACTCACTCAGGACAACTGGCGGCTGTGAGGATCTAAGCTCAGAGTACCTGTCTTCTCCACAGGGTCAAAGGTGCCATGTTGGATTAGCAACATCTGCCTCAGGCGAGGGCGTGGGGAAGTAGGCCTGCACCCCTGCAGCTCCTCACCTGGGCTTCTCAACAACTGGTTGGTATTTCTGCATTCCTAACTAGACCATGTACTTATTCATTTAAAAGCAATGAATGTTTACAATGTGCCAAGTTCTCAGAGACACCGTCCCTGCTCTTAGGGCTAACATTCCTAGGCCTGGGCATTAGAGGCACAGTAAACACATAAACAAATGAACGATGTCCAGCTAGTGACAGGAAAGGCGATGGCACAGACCTGTGGGGCCGGGAGGAGCGTGGGCCCTGAACACGCCCCGTGCAGCTGGGTGCCAACTTCTTCAGGACTGCGTGTTGGGCTGGGCACGCGTGCTGCAGGCCTCACTCCACCAGGGGTCACTGGGATCCTTGCAGCCCGAGGGGGGCACTGACCCTACAGATTGAGGCTTTGTTTCCATTTTTAAAAGGAGAGGGGGCTGAGGCCACTGGGGAGGGTGACCGGGGCTGGAGGGAACAGCGTTGGGGGCCTCACTGCCCCATCTCCCAAACCACAGCGCCAGGGAGGGGGGGTGTCGTGCGCTCTTTCTCTTGCAATCAGGGGAACGAGTCCTCCCATGTCTGTGCCATCCCCCAGCACCAGGAAGATGTCCCAAGACCACAGGGTCCTGTCTCTCTTCTCTGCACCTGGGATGGGGCTCTGGGGCCTGTTCATGGGCTGCTGACCTTCTGTTCTCTGGGCAGAATCCAAATGCCAGGGGTACGATTTTGGAAGTGCAAGCACAGCTTATGTGGACTTTAGGTATCTCAATAATCCAAAAATGCTTTTGTAAGAAGAATAAACAAAAAACAGAACCCACAAATAGCTCCTCCTGGTATGAGATAAAGGGACCCAGGGCCAGGACATGGAGCAGGACACATCACAGCTGATGTGTGGTACAGGTTGGGGTGCAGGTGGGCGGATGGGCCCCTGCAGGGCTAGGGGTGTAGAGCTTGTTGTGAGGCCCTGGGTAGGCCCTGCCCCTCTGTGGGACTCAGTTTCCCCATCTGGGCTGGGGGTAGAAGGGCCCTGGACCCACTTTGGGTCCCCCCATCTCTGCATCCCCAGCCCTGGCTCCAAAGGGCAGCACCCCAGTGGGACCCGGGCAGAACCACAGTGCCGATCCTGGTGTGTGCGACTGTACCAGCAAGAGGACAGCTGGCCAGCTGGGCCCTGAGAGGGGAGGGGACAGTGCTGCCGTGCCTCCTATGCCCTCTCTGCCCTCCATTTCCTTGCCTGGGGCTGGGTCCAGGCCAGGTGGAGGCTGGGCCACCCGTACTCTGGGAGCCTGCAGGTCAGCCAGGCAGGAGCAGGGTCCACGCTGGGCACTGTCCTGGAGAGGCCAACGTGGCCGCTGGGCCTGGCACTCCCACTCTGCTCTTTGGGGAGGGCCAGGGAAGCTGCGGGAGCCTGAAAGCAGCTGGACCGCCACAGGGCTGTGCCCGTCACAGACATGTCCAGGCAGGCGTCTCATTTGGTTGTTCTAGGAACTGGGCAGACTCCAGGGTCCTGGAGAAGGTGCCGTGGGGCCAGGTGACGACCTGCCCTCTCCTCTCCACCGACCACCTGACTGCTGCCCCCCATTCTCAGAGGAAACTGTGCCCAAGAGCACATGTCTGAGACCCCTTGGTGTGCGCTGGGCAGGGGAGGGTGCTTAGGGCCAGCCTGGCTTTGTGGGGGTCTCAGGGCCAGCAAGGCAATGACAGGGACTCTTAATTGTCTAGTCCTTGGCCAGCTCCAAACTCCTTCCCTAACCTCCTCAGCCTCCTGGGGCTCCTCCCTCCTCCCTGACCCTGGGGCTCCTGGTCTGTTCTACTTCACCCTCGGGGAGCCCTCGGCCATGGTGGGGCCAGTTCCTGGAGCTGACCACTGACACCCTGTGATGCCCAGTGTGGCCCTGTCCTCTCATTCTTACTCTTTGCCCCTTTTCAGACACACACAGTCTCCCTGACCCCAGCCCCTCTCTAGCTGCCTCCTAATCTCTATTTCTTCCTACCCACATTTCTAGCAAAAGCAGCCTGCACCTGCCCCTCCCCAGCCTGACCCAGCTCCTCACTCCTGGCCCTGCCTGGCCCGTTGGGGGCACCTGGCCAACTAACGTAGCTTCCCAAGCCCAGGCCCAATACCAGGGAGCCCCACATGCTCATGCCAGGATACAGGGCCAGCCCAGCTCTCCCGGTCCTAAGCTGCTCCTCCTCGGGGACTCCACTGCACTCAGTCCTCAGGGACCCCTCCCAGCACTTCCCCAGCCTCCTAGACCAGAGCGTTTCTCTGAGTGGGAATGTCTCAGGACGGCCACAGGGCCCCTCCTTCTCCTACGGGGAACAGAGGCCTGTCCCACAGTCACTTGGGTACAGCACACGGAGACCCACCCTGTACCCTGTGGGCGGCAATCTGGGCCCAGCATAGCCTCTGACCCGCCTGGCAGGGGAAAGGGGTGCTCCAGATCCACCTTCAGGAGGTTTTAGCCATTGCCAAACACGTGGTCGCCTACACCCAAGCTTCTGAGTTTACTTCACAGACCTAAAATATTTTAAATAGTTGCCCTACAGGTTTTGATGGCTCACTTATATTTTATTGTAGCTTCTCCCTAACCTCTTACTCCCTGTCCCAGCCCAATGTCCACATACAGTCCCGCAGCTCTGCAAAGGCGCCAGGGTGCTCCAGGCTGGTGGAAAGGGAATCCAACGTCAAACGGAAATGAGGCAACCACGTGTGCAAGAGCCCACATATGCTTCTAAGTCTGTGTCTGTTCCTACAGCAGAGATAAATGTCCCGAAGTTTCTTTCTTAGTCATTCCCAGGATCAGAGGCTCTCAAGTTCAACATGTTGGTATTCATTGTTCCAAGCAGCGGTGCTTGGCATGAATGCCCCGTGGCTTCTCCCCTGGCCCCAGACACCTGCAGCTCCCTGGCCAAAGCCCCTGGGTTCCAGGAGACTCCTCATGCTCTGTGACAGCTGCAGGACAGTCTAAAGGGAGGCTGCACTGTCACATGTGATGGATCCCCCACAGAAGACGAGTCACCACAGACTACAACACTCCTGTAATGGGCATCCCCGACCAGGGGTTTTACTCAGACACATGACAATATACAGTATGAAAGATAAACTCCAATGTTGGAGTGTTGAATCAAAGGTTGTATGCATTATAAGTTTAAAGAGACTCACAATAACTGAGGAACAGAAAAGTAAATGCCACGTTATCGCTTATAGTGGTAGCTGAGCCGTGGCCACGCAAGGACACACAGGGTGGAATAACAGACACTGGAGACTTAAAAGGAGGGAGGGCAGGAGGAGGTGAGGGATGAAAAATTACCTACCTGAATGTGCACTATTCAGGTGATGGGCTCACTAAAAGCCCACTTTTTTACCACTATACAATATATACATGTAATGGAATTCAACTTGTACCCCCTAGATCTACTGAAGTAAAAAAAAAAAAAAATTTTAATAAAGAGACATCTCAGAAGTGTTTTCAAAAGAGGATGGCCCAGATAGTGAAATGGTGGAGTAAGGACCTCCAAAACCCTCTCTGCCATAAACACAACAAGAAAACTAGCAAAATGGTCAGAATCCATTTTTTTAGAACTTTAGAAATTAACCAAAAGCTTGCAAAAATCTGAGGAGCATTCATTCACAAAACACAACTGAATCTCAGTAATAATCACAAGTTTCACAGAGTTTGAACTTGACCTACTCACATCCCCAACTTTCTACTCCCCAGTGCCTTGAAAAATAAGACCCCATATTCGTCATGAAAAACAGCAGCCTGGCAGCCACTGGAGGAAACAGGACAAGGATGGAACTCTTCCAAGGCTTCATCCCCAGAAAACTGCCATTATTTGACTTGTCAGGTGGTTCCCATGGAGACCCTACTTGTAAGGATGTCTGACTCAGAGCTATCCAAGTACAAAAACACTATTTCCCAGGGATGATTGTCAAAAACAATTACAAGCATTTAATTTCACAATGCCTGAAGCAATACATAGCAGTGAAGCAAGCAACAGACTAACAAAAAAGTTTAAAAGAAAAGTTCGGTAATGAGGTGTCCATAAGGGCTTTAAAAAGCTGCATTGCATTCCTGGGAATCTGAGGGCTCGCGCATGCTCAGGTCTGTGCATGTGCTCAGGAGAGTCCTTACGAGATGCTAAGCTCTCGCTTCTAGCTAACTTTGAGGCTCCGTGCAAACAGGAAGTGAAAACTAAGGCAGGGCTGTCAACTGCCTAGCTGAGAGCTGATGGCACACTCCAGCACACAGAGCCCCTTGGCAAAGATTGGAAGACTTACTGGCTCTGAGTATTTAAGAAAATTTCTGTCCTATCATTAAATGACCACTAAGATAACTGAGTAGAGATTTCAGTACCATACATGACAAGAGAATACAGACTTTGCATAATTAATTCAGAAATGTCACAAAACAACTATTACTACAACAAACAGTAACCACAACAAACCTGGCAGAGGGGGTTGAATCTGATTTCCATAACTGACTTACTAGACAAAAACTTTACATTAGCTACTTTAAGTATGTTCAAAGAATTGAAAGAAACCATATCTAAAAAACTAAAGGAAATATAGGAACCAAGGCTTCACCGAGTAGAGAATATCAATAAAGGAATATAAATTATTTTTTTAAAGAAAGAACCAAGTAGAAATTATGGGGTTGAAAACTAAGTAACTGAAATGAAGCATTAACTAGAAAGGCTCAAAAACAGCTTTGAACAGACAGAAGAAAGAATCAGTGAACGTGAAAACTGACCAATTGATATTATTCAGTCTGAGGAAAAGAACAAAAAAAAAAAGAATAAAAAAATAAATAAATAGGCCAGGTGCGGTGGTTCACACCTGTAATCTTAGCACTCTGGGAGGCCAAGGCAGGAGAATCGTTTGAGCTCAGGAGTTCGAGACCAGCCTGAGCAAGAGCAAGACTTCCATCTCTACTAAAAAAAGTAGAAAGAAATTAGTTGGACAACTAAAAATATATAGAAAAAATCAGCTGGGCATGGTAGTGCATATAGTCCCTGCTACTAGCGAGGCTGAGGCAG